TCACAAAAGATATCCGCAGTAAGCGGGACATGGCTCGGTCTGTCTCATTAGAGGGGAGACAAGGTCATACAAGCGGATCAAGAAAACTTACTACTCCACCCCTCGCGAGTGACTATTTGCTGGAAATTGCCGCCAGCCGTGCGCCCTCTGGACATGTCAGCCGTGAAACATGGATTGTTTGCAATCGACTTGGTGGAGGAAAGGCTTCGGAGCTAGCAGCAGCAAGCGAAAACGCCCACTTAAAGCTCATACCCTGGGGCGGGGTGGCCGGACGCGTGTTGGTCGAGACCAGCGAAAATGTCAACACCAGCGATGACACAACTAGGAGCACTGTCGGGTTGACCTCGAACGAAACCGAAGCCCAAGAATTCGCCGCTTTACATGAGACGCCCATGCATGGATTGGCGTATTGTTTTTTGCCCCTGCCTGTCGCCACGGGCCTTCCCGTTCATGTCAACGGATTCTTTGAATTGTCCAGCAACCGGAGGGATATCTGGTGGGGCGATGACATGGTCGGGGAGGGGCAATTACGAGCAGAGTGGAATCGCGCTTTACTGTGTGATGTGGCAGTGCCATGCTACAGTCGTTTCTTGTCCTTAGCAGCCGAACGATGTGGAGCTGGCGCTCTTTATGACTCTCTCTGGCCGGTGAAAGGGAACGGTCCGGCGTGGGTGGCGATGATTGACGCCTTTTTCGAAGCTGTATCACCTTTGCCTTTGCTTCATACCCCCTTAGGCGAGCAGGAGAAAGGGGTGTGGATATCCCCGCGGGATGCTGTGCTAATTCCATCTGCAGAGGGTTCACGCAACAAAGACGGTACAATCATTTTCTGCCGTGACGATATCTCTAGCTTGGAAAAGATTTTGGTTGAAGAAGATGTACCAGTCGTTCACACCTACCTGACAGCTTTGCACGAGGTCTTAGAGAAACGCAAAGTCGTAGCTCGCATAGCCACGCCTGCCTTTGTCCGCACTCATTTTCGTACTCCTGCCTCTTCGACCAGCGCACCTACGAACCCTTGTGATAGTCATCCGGCATTAAAAACAAGGGAAGCAGTGCTATTTCTTTTGCGCTACTGTCTTTCAGACCTGTCCGAACAATCTTCCACGGATCTGGACGGATTGCCGTTTCTTCCTGTGGCAGACGCACTTGCAGGGCCCCGGACGATTGTCTCGTACACAATGGTACTTGATCACCAACAGAAGGAGATATCACAACTCCTTAGCATGGGATTTCCTGTGGGGCTTTGTTTGCAGGCTTGTCGAATAGGCGGAGGACACGTGGATCGGGCGTTAGCTCATGCTATGGAGCAGCGAGAAAAGGTGGAACAATCTGGGGATCCCTTCGAGCTCGGTGACTTGGTTTTAGGTATCATCCCAACGACGGATGTGGCCGGCGAAGCTTTAATAAAGGTGGAGAAAGCCGAGCACGATGTACGAAAGGAAGTCTGTGAGGAAATTACATTGTTTGCACCTGTGGCTTCCAGGCTTCTCAATTTTGCCGAGCTCCCGGACAAGGCCCGATCAATTTTACAAGCCAGCAAGGTGCAAAAAGTCTTGAATGTGCGCAATCTTACCGCTACACATTTGCCTGCACTCCTCCGGTATGTTCTTCCTGTCGCATGGCGCGACGTAGCACGCGTGACGTGGAATGGAGAAGAGACCCCAAAAACGCAGCTTGAGACTGATGGGGCCTGGGATGCGCCAGCTCTGGGGTGGTTCTTACGCTTGTGGCAGTATTTTTTAAACAAGGTAGCTGATTTTAGCACCTTTGCCGACAGTTTGCCATTATTACCCTGCAATGAGAGGTGTGTTGTCAGTCTCTCCCGGAAGCAACCAGTGCTGATCCTGCCTTCCGTCCCGGGTAAGATTTCTGTTGCTCTCCTCACAAGCCTGCGGGAGCTAGGTGTTCTCACAGTCCATGAAGAGCTGTCTACCGTAATTGGAGAAGCTAAACTTACAGCCGCCTTAAAGGGCTATGCACATGCATACGGAAGGGCAGGTGTACTTGAGTGCTTGCGACTCATTTCTGCTCAGCAGTCAAGCTCGCAACCGCAACAGCAACAGAAGCAGTTCCAAACACACGCAGCCTTCGGCCGATTTCTTGTCCAGACGTTGGCGTCCAAAGCTCCTGAGGCTTTCTCCTCTTTGCGTGCTATACTGGTGTCGGAGCCGCTAAGCGATCTGACGCAGTCAGACATTGATTTGATAGCTACTTTGCCAATTTTTCCTGTATATGGTGGACTTGAGGAGAAGAAAGCTTATATGCCGCTCAAGTCCAAGCCTTTGTATCTCCTTGAAGGTATCTGTCCTTCCGTCCTCCGACCATTCGAAAAACTTCTGACGACACGTTTTTTGAGGATTGAGGATACTTCGGAGGATTGGCTTGAGGAGAAAGGCAGCGGTATCGACACATTACAGTGTGCGCTAGCGAAGAAGCTTGGCGCACAGACTGTTTCTAAGGTCATTTTTTTGCTGGACCATTTTTTCCCGTACTTCTCGACCTTCGAGCCAGCGCTTCGGGCACAGGCCATGCTTGATTTGGTTCTCAATGACTTTCCGAGCCTCGTTCAGGCAAACTCCCGCTTTTTGCCTGCGCTTGAGCAATTAAATTTTGTACCGAATACACTGGGGAAGGTAGCTCGCTGTCAAGAGATGTACGATCCAGAAGTAGAAGACTTGGCGATATTGATGGGTGAAGAGTTCTTCCCTCAAGTTGATTTCGCCAGACCCGACATATTGCCCACTCTCCGGCGGCTCGGGCTTCGATCCTCTCTCCACTATGAAGACGTGTTACGGATTGCTCGATCAACGCATGATCAAGCTCAGCTCCGAGAATCAGAGGTACAAGCGTTGTTGCGAGCGGAGACATTGTTTCTTTTTCTAAATCAGAACGCAGAAACATTTTTTGTGCCGATTCGAGAGCAGGAAGTAGAGCGAGGTCGTAGCCGCAAAACCTCCTCCGCCGGACTGTTTTCGCGAGCTTTGAGTCTTTTTAACGAGGCAGGACGTACCGAAGAAAAGGCACGGCAAGAGCGGCTCGATGAGGACGAACGAAAACGAGGGCTCATGGTCTCGGAGTTACATGCGATCGCTTGGGTCCCTGTGCTCGCGAGTAAACCTTTTCCTTATTTGCCATGGCGGACGACGAGTACCACTGTCAATTCTGATAGCAAGCAGAGCTCTGATAAAGTCGTATCGAGAGCGCTTGTAGCGCCTTCGCAAGCGCGTTTGAGCGAAGATATGTGGTACAGCTCAACATTGTTCGGCATTATTCCTCCTGAGACGTTCGTGTCAGAGCTGGTGAAAACCGCTTTCGGTTGGAAGACCCCGTTACCTTTATCAGTTCTGGCTCGACAGCTTGTAGCAATAGCTGAGAATTTTCATGCTTATTCTGAGACGGAAGGTCATAAGAACGTGGGTGCATGGACCGCAAATGCGAACGGAAATATTGGGGACGCATGCTGCCGCGGAACTGACAATGCGGTACAGAATATGCAGCAGGCAATCTCTTCCGTCGTACCCGTAATTTATCAGAAACTAAGTGCTTCACTACACAACCCAAGTGTTATGGAAAGCGAACTTCGTCGGCATTTGACAGGGCCATGGGTTTTTGTGGGCGACCGCTTCGTTGAGGCCCAGCAAGTAGCTTTTGCTTCTCAAGTCAACGCTACACCGTACCTTTACAGTGTCCCACCTGATCTGGTGTGCTTCGCCCCGCTCTTCAAGGAGCTTGGTGTCAGGGCCTCTTTTGCACCCAGCGACTTTGTGAACGTGTTGCAGATGATGGCGGCAGAAACATATGCAACTCGCTGCGAATTTACTCAGACTTGGATTGTACCAGACAGGAATACGAATTTAAGCAGGTCCGAGAACGTATGTCTCAGGCCTGCTCAATTAGAGCTCGCCATCACGTTGGTGCAGCGCTTGAGTGACGAGATCATCCAAGTTTCGGACTGGGAAATATTTGCCCCGGACGAGGGAGGCAAGTTGGCCAGGGCAACAGACTTGGTCTACGACGACGCTCCATGGCTTTCCAAGAAAATTCAACGCCGACCTGATATTCGATATGCTCATCCTAAGATTTCTTCTGTCACCGGCGAGAAGCTGGGTATCCGCTCGGTGCGGAGGCTGCTGATGGAGACGCACGCAGACACGATGGATTTCGGACTGTCAGGTGCAGAGGCGGAGGCATTCGGTCAATCAGAGGCACTGACAAGTCGGCTTCGACACATTTTGGAACTGTATCCGGAAGGACCAAGCATCTTGAGTGAGTTAATCCAAAATGCGGATGACGCTGGGGCATCCACTGTGCGTGTCTTGTACAGTGAGCGCCGCTACGGGACGTCCTCACTCTTGGGTCAGAAGATGGCGGACTGGCAGGGCCCAGCGTTGTATTTCTACAACGATGCTATTTTCTCACCACAGGATTTTCAAAACATTGCCCGCATTGGTCAAGCCTCAAAGTTAGATAAGCAGAATTCGACCGGACGATTTGGTCTAGGAGTTAATGCCGTTTATCATAGCACGGACTTGCCGTCGTTCGTCTCTGGGGAGCATCTCGTCATATTCGACCCTCATGTCAAATTCCTCCCTGGAGCAACGCGTCAACAACCAGGAATCAAGATTCGTTTCGTAGATACCGATCTTTTGTCACAGTTTCCTCACCAATTTGAACCCTACACGGTGTTTGGCTGTACACTTCAGCAGACATTTTCTGGCACTCTTTTCCGCTTTCCCCTGCGAACCGCAGATCTGGCGCGGCAATCGGAAATAAGTAAATCTCAATATGATTCAACGACAATTCGACACCTTCTAGCATCTTTCAAAGAAAGCATCTCTCGTTTCCTCCTCTTTCTGCGCAATGTCGATAACATCGAAGTGTACGTAGCTCATGAAGTCGACGATCTGACTTTGAAGCCTGGCGCCACCGACAACAGTCTGAAAGCTGAATCCAAGCCCAGGCTGCTTTATCGCGCGAGCCGATCGATGGACACTAGAGAAACTTGGGCTGAAATATCGGCTTTTATGACTGGTCCTTCTCGAGCTCCTCTAAGCAAGGAAGCATTTCATGCCAAATTGGCATCGACCCCAACCCTTCACCTACCACGATCAAAGCAGCTCATGGAAGTGCGTTATGAAGACGGCGACTCTGATTTTTTGGGTTGTCCTATTTCCTCCAGGGTACGGCGTATAGATGAGTATCTGGTGTTTGCGGGACTAGGTGGTGGCGCGGCTTTGGCAATGGCGGTGGATGCGAAACACCGGCATCTAAAATTGATCCCTTTTGGTGGAGTCGCTGCTCATGTGTACACTCGTCAGTCTACTCTCTCAAGTTTAAACTGTGATGCTAAGGATAATTACGGTCCGCGACGTCTCGTGGAGGTGATCCCAAAACGTGGGCAAGTCTTCTGTTTTTTGCCTCTTCCTGTCGACTCTGGACTCCCATGCTTTCTTAATGGTAGCTTTGAACTATCAAGCAATCGCCGGGACATATGGGCGGGGGGAGACATGGCAGGTGATGGAAAATTGCGGTCAGATTGGAACCAGGCTTTGCTGCAAGATGTTGTGGCGCCATTGTACGTCCAATTGTTACACTGCATTGGTCAACTTTTGGGTCCCGCTGATGACAATAAGCATGAAAAGTCGCGATTACCATTCTACTATAACCTTTTCCCGCTTGGTCAGACGGTTCCCGCACACTTTCAGGTGCTAGTAAGACAATTCTATCGTTTGGCCGCGCCCCTTCCCCTCTTGTGGTCAGATATCGGTGGTGGTACTTGGACACCTTGCCAAAGCGCCATGTTGGCAGACATACCACAAGACTATCAAGTAGAGGACGACACAGATCGAACTACAGCACATTTGTGCAATGTCCTCCTGGCGCGAGGGTTTTGTGTAGTCCGTGTCCCCGAGTCTTTGAAACGTATGCTGGTGGCGGAGGAATGTTGTCACAGTGAGATGTGCCCCAATCTCGTCCGGATGCTCTTATGGGAGGCGAGGAATCTGGCTACAAACGCTGGAAATCCGACAAATGGAGGAGTTTTACGTGATTCTTGGCCTGCAACACAAGGGGATGCTCAAATACTGCTTGTATACTGTTCCAGCGACTTGGTGGGAAAAGGAGATCTGACGCCGCTGGACGGTTTGCCGCTTGTCCCCTTAGCCGATGGAACGTTGGGCTATTTCGCGGTGTCTCCTCTCAACGCAGTCGATCAAAGATCACCTAACAGAAAGAGGAAACCACCTACATACTTTATGGCGGAAGAAGAGGAACGGGGCCTATTCATGCACGGACAACACGTGTTGGTGGTGGAGCGAGAGCGTTTGTTGCCTAAGGTCGCCGCGCTCTTCTATAATGTCGCCCTGATTCGAAATACGAACGTCTTTCATCTTTCACCGACGAACATCGAAAGTCTTCTGTCTGAAGTCCTACCACCGGTCTTTGAAGAAATGTGCGAAGTCCCCTGGAATCCCGGCGACATGTTGGGTGGTCGTGTGGTGCCTGACAGCGAATGGATCTACAGATTGTGGTCCTATCTCGCGAATTCGCGTGGCCTTGTAGCCAACAGTAAGAGCTCATGTATGCAATCGCTCCAATCCATCGGAGCAAAAACGATGATGCTCAATAGTACCGTCACTGGCATTAGCGGGGTTTCCGTGAGAGATCGCGAGCAAAGCTCTAAGTCCATACCAACAATCGCCGTTCAGGACATCGCCCGCGTCTGTGGAAACTGGCCCGTTCTCCCAATTCTTCGGGATCGATCCTTAGGATCGATGCTCGTCCGCATTGACCCCTCTTTACCTCTTTTATACATGACGCAGAACATGTTCCCGTCCTCATCCGACGGTATCGCAAAGCTGGAACGGGCGCTAGCAAGCCTTGGCATCTGTGTTGTCAACCAGAGGATGCTTCCGGAGATTGCTGGTCCTATTTTCATGGCACCGGAAAGTAAAGCAGTGGTCAAAAACCTCAATACGCTGGAGGTGCTAGAATTGCTAGCAAAATGCTGTGACCGTCAAAAGCTAGGGTCGTCTGTGGGTATGCTCTTTTCAAGCGTGGGTACCGCCGGTCGCCGAGCACTACGAACATTTTTTGGGGACGCAAGACAAATAGAGATGGTTGTACGTGAAAGAGAAGGTGCGAACAGCGTGTTGGGATCGACAGATTCTGTAGTGCAGGCTTTGCGAGCTTTGCCCATCTATGAATCATACGAAGGACAAGAGCTCTCGCAGGGACAGAAGAGAATTGATCAGTCACTTCCACCCATGGCAGCATTCTGTGCACTAACGTCTCCTGAACACTGGTTACCGCCTGAAGGAGTTGACCCACTTCTGCTCGATACAGGTTCTCCTACCTTTATTCGCACAAATACTCAGGAGGACTCGGCACTTCTAAACTTCCTTGGAGTAAATCCTTTACCGATGGCCAAATTTTATCGGAAACACGTTTTGGGAGCCTTAAACTCAATCCCTGCGACTGTCCGAGACGGTGCTATTTTAAAAATGCTCCTAAACTTGCCTCATCTTGCTCAAGACAAAGGGGCTGACGGGGAGGCCTTTCTGGAAGAATTGAAGGTTATGGCTTTCGTTCCCAACGGTGCTTTACCTGTAGCGGAATTAAGACGAGCTTGTGAGTTATATGAGCCTATGCAGGGAGGATTGGAAAATTTGCTTGATGGAGATGCTTTTCCTGCGCCAGCCCTCTGTACCCCTGAAATAATTCCTCGCCTTCGGGAGCTTGGCCTCAAAGCCTCTCTATCTTTGCATGGCATTATACTTAGTGCCACTTCTATCGCATCCATGGCTGGGTTGGACGAAAGAGAACGGGCGGTAAAGCGTGGGAGGGACCTCTTGCGATTCTTAGATCATCACATTGAAGAACTGGCAGAGGATTATATGGAAAGACAAAGGTCTGGCTTTGATGAGGAAGATGATGCGTTTGATGATGTCAACGATGACCTAAATGAGTCTTCAGGCGGACCAGCATCATCGCCAGGGCACTGTCACTACCGCTCTTGCGTGACTCTTCCTAGAACTTTCGTGGTGGCATTGCGAGCTCCATCTTGGGTTCCTGTGCGGCAAGCACCCCTGCACCCGTCACTCCCTTGGCCCTGCTCGTCATCTTCCTCGCGTGCGGCTCTGCCTGTTGTATTGCCGCCCTGTCAGACGCGACCACAGTCTGAGATGTGGCAATGCTCTTTGCGCAAAGGGATTGCCGAACTCGATGTTAGCAGCCCACTTTTGAGGCAGGCGCTGGGGTGGGATGACGTTCTCGACCCCATATTGTTGGCTCATCAGCTGGTCGGCCTGTCGGTGGCATTCGAAAATGGAAGGTCTGGGAATTTCCGTCTTATTCTAAATAAGTGTGTTCCTGATATATACAAGGCTTTGCAAGACGAGATAGTAATACAAGCAAGTGACGTTGAGGGGCCATCCTCGCCAACGATTCCAAAAAGTGACCACCATACCATCCCACGCTTGCGCGAAGATTTTGACAAGGTCCTCAAAATTATAAGTGGCCGTGCCTGGATTTGGGTGGGGGATGAGTTTTTACCAACAACGCGTATCGCCTTTTGTGCGCCCACCAATGCTCGACCCTACTTAGTAAAGGTTCCTCCCGAACTTGAAATGTTTGCGCCGCTTTTGCGTCTGCTGGGGGTACAAGAAAGCTTTACTCCTCAGGATATAGTGAAGGCACTCGAGGCTATGTATGTTTCGGCCGGGGGAGACGTCCCTCTCTCTAGCGCGGATCTGACGCAATCTTTGGCTCTGTTGAATGCTTTGTACAAGACTCCTATCGACGAACGTACTAAGGCCCTGCAAGAAGATGGCGTTACTGTCTATGCCCCTGCGGAGGACGGCACTATGCACCGAATCGACGAACTTTGTTTTGGGGACGCTCCTTGGCTTCTCGCGGCCATGCCACAAGGTCAAATAAATTTGAAATTCGTCCATGGAGGTGTGAAAAAAGACATTGCGCGGTCATTGGGTGCGCGAAGCTTGCGAGAGGCGCTTCTAGCCATACAAGGCGTCATGGCATCCATTCCCTGTGCATGCTCGCAGGATATTCTTTCCATTTTGACACCGGCACTCCTCCATGCCTCTCAGGACGAGGGGAGAAGCAGAATCACGGCGGAATTAGGGTATCAGGCCATTATGGACCTGGTCGAGTTGGCTGACGATGTTGGCTGCCCGGAGCTTGAGATGCTTTTGGACGAGCGCGAGCACAAGAAAGAGAGCCTGCTGCACCCGCGGTTAGCCGAAACACAAGGTCCAGCCTTAATTATACACCTCAAAGATGTAGTGCTTGGCTTCGATGATTTGATCCGGCTGACCTCCCCTTCTAGGCTAAGAAACCGTCCAATTATTCGGCCGTACCCTCCCTCGCCAAAAGCGTCCCTGGGGGGATCTTATCACGGCGCTTCGAGTCACCTTCGCGGTTTGGGTGGGAGAGATTCTCCTTGCAATACAGATCAGGAGCGGCAATCTCAACACCAGCAATCGAGACGGCTCGAACAGAAACTGCAAGAGGAAGACAGGTCAAGTGGTGGATATGGATGGCCGGTTGCTGGGCTCGGCCTTTGCTCCCTTTTCCACTTGACTGACGTCTTACAGGTTTTGAGCGGTGATCAATTTGTCCTTTTTGATCCATGTGGCTCGCACCTTGTGTCGGAAGTCGAAGTGGAGCGTCTACGGCACCAAGATTCTCAAGAAACAGAGCCGCACAATGTAGAGGGAACGCGACGTAAATCATCCTCACCTGAACGGGGAAAAGAGCAGGAGCCTATTGCGCGAAGGTACATTTTGGGGGGCCAAAACCTTCACACACGCTTTTTGGATCAATTTGCCCCGTTCATGAGTTTGCCTTCATGGACTTCAATCGAAGATAAGGGGTGCCTACCGGAGGATTCCTCCTTCTGCTTCACAGGCACCGTCTTTCGTTGTCCCTTACGACTTTACGAATCAGCATTATCTTCCCTGGTTCCTGTCCTAAATGAATTGGAACCTACGTTGTCTCGGATTTCGAATTCGGCCCCAGCTTCACTTTTGTTCAGCTTGAGTCTGAAGACAATCTCTGCTGCAAAGTGGTCAAGGGACGCTACTGTCTCACATCCACTCATGTGCACTACACTGATCGACCCATCTGTGGCAGTGCTACACCGAGAACGCCGCAAACTGTTGGAAAACAAAGATTGGCGGAGATTCAGGCTATCTCACCTGTGGAAGGGCGGCAATCCTGCACCCATGGATATACAAGTCGTGGAGTTAGCATGCGAGGCGGGAGACAAACAACCGTGGCGGGAGCAATGGCTTTTGCTTGATACATTGGCACACGGAGCCTCCCGAGAGGCTGCCATGTCCGAAGCTTCACGGATTATTTCTGATAACCCATTGCTTCCGCTCGTTTCGGCGGCTGCCCGTCTAGAAATACGACATGATGATATTCCTCATGGGAAAGGAGATCGGTGGTCGGCGTCCCGTCCTGGTCGCGCATATTCTGTATCTGACACGGGCAGTGATTTGGGTTTCCCTTGTCACGTGAATGCGCCATTCTTTCTGTGCGACGCGTTGCAGCCTATTTTGAAAGAACGTGTGTCCACAGGTCGTGTGAGTGGTGTGTCAGGTGGAAGTGTGTGGCGAGGTAATGGTGTGGAGAAGTTGACTCTGTGCTTGAAGTGGAACAATGCACTTATGAGCACACTCTGTGACGAAGTTATCCCGGCATTGATGGCATCGCTGCGGGAACTGACACTACAGACTGACGGCTGCGGAAGAGGGCTGTATGAGTACTGGCCGTATTTGAATGACGTTGCCAAACGGTTGCGAGGGCGGGTGCAAGCTTCCGGTTTATACGACCGTCTGGGAAATGGATCGTACTTTTTGTTGGATCAGCAGCCTCCAGGAAGCAAGAAAGGCCTTGACAGCAGGGGCAAAGGGACCTCGGGGCGATTTGTAAAGGTAGGAGATGCCATCTTTTTCAACAACGAAGTAGGCAGCCCGGAACTTGAGTCATTTGTGGGCAAATTATTCCCACTATTCAATATTCCTTACCGAGTGGCCCGCGAGCTCCAAGATAGGCAATTTGCCATCAAAGAGGTAACTCCAGCACTTCTTCGACGAAAGCTTCATTCTTCATCCCTACAGATATATCAAGAAATCATTTCCAAGCCTACCCTAGCTTTGGAGTTGCTCGTATATTGCCTTAGCGACTGTATAACTACACATATAGAAGCAGAAGGATTGACTGTCTGCCGTAGTCGTTGGAATGATTTAGTAGGCCTACCACTGCTGCTTTTAGAGGATGGATCAGTCGTCCAAGTTCCTTCATCGAAAAGTAAGACCAGTGGGTACATCCTGGGCAATGAGGCGCAAAAGTCTCTTCTTCCTCATTGCAAGAACATATTCATAGCAAGTCGAACGGTGGAATGTTTGGGGAAATTGAAGGACGAACCCAACTTTTTAGCCGCTGTGGGCTTCCGTAAATTCAACCCTCAAGCTTTGGCATCCAATCTTGACACAATACTGCCACCCTCATGGAAAAACCTGGTCCGTTTACAGATTGATTGGGATCGTATCCCTTATCCCTTGACTCCATTGTGGTTCTATCGCTTTTGGCGGGAGATGCCATTGGCGCAGGCAACTGAGTTGCTGGCATCGTGGCCCTTGGTGCCGATATGCAACAGCACAGCGGCTGGCACCTCCCCACGTCGAGGAAGCATCGAACTGGTCTCTTGCGTGCTGTCCTTACACGTGCTTCGCCTTTTGCCAGACTTTTGTGACACACGACTACGGGCTGACTTAGAGGCTCAAGATGCCGAAGCGTCCAGAAGTGCTATGCGGACTTGTGAAAGTAATCAAATTAGAGCTGACGTGGCCTTCCTTTCGAAGACCGTGACTGTCGGTGAAGAAGCTCTGGCTCGTAATAAATCGCTTAAATCTCACCCCCGTGACATCTGCCTAGACATGGAGGACCTGGAGAAGTTGTCGCGGGCTTGTGAGGAAATGCTTCTTAACCGAAATCCGCATGGGGAACGAGTCTCTTCTGTCGGCGGAAATTCGCCTGCACCAGGCATTCCCTCTTCATCTTTATCGGAAAGTGCCGAGTCGCAGGATGCAGGAAGCCCGATTTTGTCACCTGTTTCCGCAAATGTCCCCGAGGAGGGGATGCGAGAACGTGTTCTTGCCAATCAGAATCATCCTAATGTTCGCATGGAGAATACGAATGAAAGAGACGCTTCCGATGGGTCTCAGGATGCCGAAGAGGGAAGGACAGAGCATCTGAATACTTTAATGGGACATGTGTCGATGACCAAAGCTGAGCATGAGAAAAGACTTGAGTTGTTGAGACTTCTCAGCCGTGCTCGGGCCCCGCTCCTTGAGCTGGCGTTTTTCCCGAAGGCAGTGGTCGACTCGCTCGTAACCGCAGATAATCGCGATGTGACCCGCGCAATCATCACCTGCATGCATGTCTTTAAAGAGGGTTTGAAGCTTGACAATTTGTCGGGAGCGGAGATAGATCACATGATTCGGCGGTGCACCACCTCAAGTCAGGATGGCAACGTGGCTACGGCGCTGACAGCATCCGAGTTGGAAAAGCTTCGACAATTGCCCTTTTTCGAGACAATAACTGGAAATCGCGTTCCGCTCGTACAAGAGAACGGACCCTATGTCGTTCTGGACGACCGGCAGATAGGTCGCGACCGCTTTTTGGATGAGATCATGGCGATTATCGACATGTCTACAACGTTTCGTCAATTTAGTGACCGCCCAGGATCAGTAGTTGTGCAGAGGACAAGGTTCGAAGTGAATAGCTGTGATAATTCTCCCGCTTTGACTGAGTGCAAGGTACTCAAGCGGAAGACGGCCCTCGAAGATCTGTACCAGGACCTGGGCGTTGCAACTCTGAAAAAGACCGAGATTTTAACTCGATTGTTGATTCCAGATTTGGCTTTGATGGATCCCGGGTTGCGCAGCCGCGTCCTCGATTTAATAAAAAATATGTGGATATCGGAAAAGCTGGCTTCTGATACGGCATTCGTAGAAGCCTTGACAGCGGCCAAATTTATCGCAACCGAGAAAGGCGATCTTGCTATGGCGTCTGCCTTTTTGGATCCACGAAATGAACTCTTACGGGAAGTTTTTGAAGATGAACCATCTGTCTTTCCTCCGGGAGAATTCGGAAGCCGCGACTGGCTTCCCATTTTGGGAGTGCTTGGCTTGAAGACTAAATGTGATGGTAAAATCTTTTTGGAATGCGCAAAACAATGTGAGAAGCTTGCTTCCCTGGATCCCTTGCCCTTTGCTACCGCGTGGAAGGCTGCAAAGCTTATGGCGTATTTTGTGGCCCCAGATGGAGATCTATGTGCCGACAAAGGGTTGACTAGAGAGCTAGCTCCTATCCGTTGCGTGCCAGTAGAGCGTCCTGGATTGGACATGATGGGCTCTTGCACAACCTCAGAGCAATATCAAGGGGCAATGGCTAGTAGTGGCGCAGGGGAGGCCAAACCAGTTGGTGACATGCTCATGGCTCCCAGCCGAAAGTACCAACTGGTCAGTTTCGCACAAGCTGCCCCCGCAAAGGATGGGAACCTGGTGTGGTCAATTGCACCAGTCCTGTTGCCACACTTGGTACCTCCCCAACTCTGCTGGTCAATTTTAGGCCTTGTATCACCGCCCTCTTGCGAGCTAGTCGTACAGCATCTCATAAATTTGTGTACGGGCATATCAATGCCAACAAGAACGAGGCGAGCGACGATGGTTTACGCCGATGATGCTTTGCCTGATGATGGAGAATGCTCGGCACTGGACCGGTGGACCTATAGAGAACCACCGACTGTCGTTTTTCAAAGCATTTTCAGGTACTTGGAGGAGCATTGGGAAGGTCTTCCACCCAAAAGCATCAGCTTGCTCAAACAACTTCCATGTGTACCTGTCGGGAACCGTCTCGTTAAGGCTGCTCGACTTTATTTCCGCCTCACACAAGACTTGTCGCCATTTATGTTCGAGGTTCCACGAGCTTTTGGAGCGTATGACACCCTTTTTACAGCGCTGGGCACGCGAGTCAGTCCTACTGTGCAGGATTATTCATCCCTATTAATGGAGGTACAAGGAGAATGCGGGAATTGCGCACTGAATCCTAACGAGTTAGAGGCTGTACTGAAAATTGTAACATTGTTGGCAGAAACCTTGTCGATGCAGCAGAATGGGCCGAGAAAAGGAGAGGGAGGGATATGTGGTAATGGGCTACTTCACAGCTTGAATCTAAGTCTTCCAGATGACCGCTCCGTGCTTGTGGCTTTGGATATGGTCCTCTCTGATGATGCATCCTGGTTGCGCGGTCGCGTTCACGCGCATCGTTTGCGCGTCGTGCACCCGCGTTTATCGCAGGAGTTGTGTCAGCTCTTTGGTGTATCTCGAATCTCTGAAGTTGTACGTGAGGAACTTGAGGCTGATTTTGTTCCTGAGACCGTCAGCACTTTTTCCACCGCAACGGGCGACCCTGCATTGCTATCAGCCACGCTAACTTCCCACGAATTTGCCCATGCTCTGGCGTGTCTTATGCTCACGCAACAGCAACGAGGTGTTGCGAGTAGAGGGACATTTCTACTTTCATCACGGCTTTCGCCCCCGTGTAGCGAGGGCTCTGATCGGAATTCAGTTACACTCGAGGATTTGATAAACAAAATTCGGGGAACATTAAGAGGCTTTGAGGTGAAATTTGTGAGGGCACTCCGCTCCCGTTTTCTTCGTCGGCATGAC